CACTATCATCCTCCACTTGGTCTTCCAAATCAGCCTTCTCATCCTGCCGTCTCTTGCGGTCGTCCTCTCTCCTGGCCTCTTCGAGCAACTTGGCGCGCTCAGCACGAGCCTTGCGCTGTCCCACGACATAAGCACCAAGAGGTGTCTTGGCAACATCGAAATCACGAAGGAAAGCCTCAACCTGAGTGCGGTCCCTGGGGGCGAACTCAACCTTTGCGCGCTTCTCCTCAATGAACTTGCCGTTGGCCTCAAGCTTCTGCACCAAGAGAATGACTTGGGTAGCGAGCTTGACGTTCTTGTTGCCCGTGTTCTTGTTACGGGCTTGCTTGAGCCAGCGCTTGAGCTGGATAATCACAGGGAGAGCGAGCTCAGGGAAGGCGATGCTTGTAGCCCACAGGAAGAAGTACTCGCCAAGAAGCTCAACGAGTTGCTCACCAACACCGTCTTGGAAGACACGGGTTCGGAGGTATGACTTGGGGGCCTTGTAAGATGTAGCGAAGTCGAAGGGCTTGAGAGAGGCGGCCTTGGGGGCCTTCTTCATCTCAGCTGAATTAAGGACCTCCAGAAGGGGAGAGGCGAGAGGGATGTAAGTTCCAGTGGCGCGGGAAAGTCGGAGGAGAGAGCGGATTAGGTGAAAGCGGAAGGGGAAGTAGATGGCGGTGGGGATGAGACGCATGGCTCCGAGCGTAACTTGGACCAGGGGATAGATAAGGAGCTTGAGTTGGCTCTCCTTTCCAGCCTCGGCCTCCTTCAAGGGACTGCAGTGCTCGGCGAGAACGCAGGACCAGAAGTCGAGGGAGTGTGTGTACTGCCAGTTGTAGACGATTCGGAACGCATCATTCTTGTTGTGTACAATGCTGTTTCGTAGATGAATGGCAAGTTGTCGGATGAAAGAGAAGGCAGTCGTGTAACCAACAGTCTGATCAATACCCCAAAGCTCAGCAGCAGAGTTCTTCATCAGGTTGATGCCCTGAAGGGTGTTGGCATTTGTGACACGGCAGCCCTGGATAAGACCTTGGTAGACGGCCTTGAGGACTGTCTCGCGAATGCCCTTGTCACCGATAACAACGAGACGTCGCAGGACAAGGAATGCTGTGAGCTTTGTCGTCTCGGAACTGGCAGGCTGAGCCCAGAAGTTGACAACGGATTTGGCGAGGGCCTTGACGAGCTTCTTGAAGGAGAGGAGGTAAGGGAGAATAGGGGTGATGGATGAGAGGGTGAGCTTGAGGGTCTTGTCGTCGGAGAGAGTGCTCAAGAGGTGCATAATAGACGAGGTGTATGTCTTGAGGAGTAGAGACAATGTGTGAAACTTTCTTGACTCGGTCTGGACGTGAACTTTGCCGGAAGCTGACTCCTTGACGGGGAGATGGTGGTTCATAACCGTGGGGATCTCCTTGAGGGCAAGAAGAAGAATATCGTTGAAGACCTCGGGACTGTTGATAACATATCGCTGCTGAGACTCCTCATCATCATCCTCGTTTAAGTGCGCAGCGCATCGGAAAGCCAGAACAACCTGTCGAGCCGCCCGTAGAGAGTTCTTCTCAGCCATAGCCTTCCTCCACGAAGCAACAAGCTCACGGGTCAACTCGTTCCCTTGCGCGACGGCCTCAGTCTTAGCCTCCTTCTCCTTCTTCCGCTTCTTCTTGGGCTGCTCCTCTTCTTGTTCCGAGTCGTCGTCGCCGCTGAGCGCATCTACCTCTGCGAGGTCGGCGTTGTCGTCAAAGTCAAGAGCCTCGGGGTCGTTCTCCTTGAGGAACTTGTAGAATTCGGGATCATTCTCGGCTAGCTTCTCCATGGTCTCCTTGCTCATGCCAGCGTCGTCTTCGGCGTCGTCGCCATCATTGTCGTCGCTGTCGGCCGCAATGGGCTGCGCACCAATTGAGTCGTCAGAATCGCTGGCTTCGTTATCCTCGGCGGCGGCACCGTTCCTCTTTCGCTTTCCAAGCTTGCCGGCCTTCTTATCCTTGCTGTCGATAATATCGTCGAAACCGCCCGAGAAGAACTCGTCGACACTCATATCGTTGACCTTCTTGCCCTTAGCGCTAGGCTTCTTGACCTCTCCGTCCTCTCCATCTTTGGAGCCCTTGTGAAACTCTGCATCTTTTGACTTTCTGGCCTTCTTCTTATCCTGCATCTGATGGCGCTGCTTGATTTTGGCGCCTGCTTTCCGCTTGTCGAGAACACCTGTGAGATGTCTCTTCTCGAACTTCTTGGTCGCCTTGAGGTTCTTCTTGCCTGGCGCCATCTTGAAAACCTGTGAAGCGCCTCGGCTGGTGAAGAATTCAAGTTTGGGGGATTGGGTGGTTTTTGTTTGCAAGTTTTAGATGGGTCTCGTAGAGGCTCTCGCAACCAAACCAAAAACCAAAAATTTTGCTGCAAGCTTATCGATAAGAGATGATGGATGTGAACGACAGGCGGTGTGGGGATTCTGCCGCTCTCCTACGTAACATGCCGCCATGTCTAAGCATCCCACTTCGAGCTCTCTTTTATTGCGCCGTATTACTATTATTTCATTATAGGCATTGATCAAGCCAATGCTTCTCTCATGATGATCCCAAGACAAGGCTATGCGCCAACCCCTCATAGCTATGTACCCAATACGAGTCTTTCAGCAAGTATAAATCTCGACGAGGTATACTTTATCCTGCATCGATTGCCCTGTAACCGTAGCTAACCGCCAATGTAGGAAGTCAAGCTCACCAACAACCGTGCCGAGCGCGACCTTCAAGAATCCCTCGCCGAGCTCTTCAGCATAATTATAACACTCGATGAACTCGAAAAGGCCTTTTTGAAAGATGCAGTCCCTGAAGCAGAGTATACCGAGATCTGCGAGCGATCGCTAAGGCAGTATAAGGCGCTGCTGGCTGATGAGACGATTGCCAGGGAGTTTGGAGATCTGGAAGAATTCAAGGCCAAGTGGGATGTATGAGACTCTATAATGTCCCGAGCAGCTCTTATCATCACAGGACTCACAATTGTACAGCTCGAAGCCCCTCGCGCAACCGAGCGCATTCGTGTAGGAATGCCCTCAACAACCATCGATCGAGCCCCCTCAGCACAAACTCCCGCCCCCGCCGCAGCCAACAACACAAGCGGTGTTCTCATTCTCGAAGCCACCCAAGAATTCATCACCTTTCTCGATGCCGTTAAGCTCGGTCTTCTCTCCAAAGATCAACTGCATCCTCTTCTTTCTGACGTTATCCAATCGGTGAACCGTGTCACGGACAAAGACTTTGAGAACCGCGGCAAGATCGTGCAATGGCTTATCACGCTCAACCAGATGCGAGCGACTGATGAGTTGAGTGAGGACCAGGCTCGTGAGCTGGAGCTGGATATCCAGCAGGCGTACCAGGGATTTAGAAGGACGTTGACATGATTTGCTGTGACATGATGATTTTGTATATATTGTTGTTTTGAGCGAAGATGCTTGCGCCAATGTCTGCCTGCATGGCTATTAGAAGTGGTGTGCTTTCTCTATATACCCACAGCGATCATTCTCATGATCCATGGTCCATTATACCAGGAACGTCCAAAAGCTGGGATAGACGAACTCCGACTCAAAAATCCTCCTCACCTGCTCAAGCACGAATCTCTCGACTTTGCCCACGTTCTTTAAACTCTGCTTTCCACCAACCCGTTCTCCAATCTCGCTCTCCACGCGGATCTCTTGTAGAAGTCCACCAAATCGCGGTTTATGATGTTCATTCTTAGCATCTGCTGTAGAAGTGCTTGAATCCCCCTCTTCTTTAGTATCGTCGGGACCAACAGCCGCGAGCGCATCATCTGGACCGAGGAAGCAAAAGTGTACTCGCTTGCGAATATGCGCCAATACTCCCACACCATCAAACGTTAAGCCTGTGATGTTGAGTTTGAGAGGAATACCCACAAAACTTGGCATGGGATAGTCGAGTAAGATCTCCGCCGTGAGGTTCAAGCGTATGTCACCGTTATAGCGTATTCTAAAGACAGCTTGCACGTCCTCAACACGAGGTTCTCTCGGCCGCCGTCCTGCTTCCTCTTCTCCCTCCTCTTCATCGTCGTCGTCAATCGCCGACCCACCAAGATGTGTATCCCTTGTTGGCGGCCGCGACGCCTCCACTGACGTAGGCGCCAGTGTAGACACGCTTCCTTTCTCACGCAGGCTCTGCAGCGGGTCAAGACTGGACTTGAAGTTATCAACAGACGTGAGGCTGCTCTGTGATGGGTTCCGTGTGTGGCTTGGAGCTCCCCATTCGCGTGCTGGTGTTCCCGGGACGCTCATCCAGTTCGTATGATGCGCACTTGCAACAGCCGCCAAAGGCGTGTGTGTGCCTGTTCCAAGATGGCTTTGGAAATAGCCCAACCCTGACCCTCCTAAGATTCCTGGAGTTGATGTTCCTAAGAACGGACTTCCCAGATCATGGCCCATCATCTCATTCCTCAATACCTCGCTCCTCAATCCACCACCTCTCCTCGTTGATCCTCCCCATGGTGTTGGTCCAGGCCTCATCCTTGTTGGCTCTGGAGGCGGTGGTGGCGATGGCTCTTCTTCGCTATCTTCTTCATCGTCGTCCAAATCCTCTTCGTAGAAATCAGGTAGAGGATCTGTAATATCCTTGAGCTCAAGCTGTGGAGGGATGGTACCAAAGTCGAAACCGTGGACGTTTACTGAGCGAATGAATTTTGGTAGTGGAACTGTCTGGAATTTCTCATGGACGAATTCTCTTATGCGCTCAGCCAGGGCGTCGCCATCAGGGCCGCTAGTGAGCGTCTCCCAATTCAGGTCAATCGACATTATTTATGTCTCAGTCGTTGTTGATGTCAAAATTGAGTACACTTTGGGTAGGAGAGTAGGAAGTGGATGAGATGACGGATGGAGGCTCTTAGGGCCTGATATGACAGGTTTCAGTGGCTTACAGGTGTTATAGGCCCAAGATGACGCCCTGAATCGACCCAGCGGGGCATAAGCCAAGATCATCACTCAAGCCGTCTATCCATCACGATCCAGCCATTGAACTCAATGTTTCTTTCAACTGGCATACAATAGCAGCCAAACTCTATTGATTTATGCACGTTCTTGTATCCATATCATGCAAAGTCTCCTGAGTTGTAAGCAAGACCATCCTTTCCCTGTCTCCTTGAATGAATGCTCTCGTAAATACCCCCAATAACGACGCTGATGCTTGCTTGTACATTGAACAAAAAATACAATTCTTTTACGTTTATACCGGCCGTTGCGAACCATGCGTCTTTTTCTTCGTTTATCTCATTCGCATCATACATAAGAACTTAGACGCTCAGCGGAGCAACTCGGGCTCTTCGAACCTAGCGCGCCCATAGTAATGCGGATACTGAGGGTTGTTGAACAGATGCCAGCAGTTGGGCGCTTGCAAGATGTACCTGATCAGGAGTTAGTATACGAACAGTTACAATCATCCTTACTTGTACATACCTGGCCATTGCCTCTCGGAAACGGGACTTGTATTCCTTGGGACTGGTTACGGTAGGTCGATTGCGGCCACCACCTGCGAATCCACGGTCCTTGATCCAACTCTCAAGCTTCTTGTCCCAAGTGTAGGTGCGAATACAGTCAATGATGCCAACCACGAGTTCCTTGCGAGCCTCGTCAACGGCAATCATGAGTGAATAGTCCATCACATTCTGTCTTGCCAAAAACAACGTATCGTTCCAGACGGAAGCGCGGAGGAGCTTCTTGGAATGCTCTCGTGCAAAGAGGGGTGACTCATAAATGTACTCAACCATGTTCTCATCAAGAAGAACCTCGTTCTGCTCTCCTGTTGATTGGATCTTGCGGTTACGCATTGAACCTTTGAGGTCAAAAATCCTTGTTGCTGACCGGTCGTAGAAGAGGTTCTCAGTAATAAGGAGATCCAGCTTGATGTCAGTTCCTGTCGCAGGGTTCTTGATGAAAACTTGAAAGAAGCCTAGCATCTTTGCGATGACAGATGGCAGATCATGGAACAGTGCCTCGGCCATGATGTTGAAGTATCCAGGCGCAAATCGCAGGAAAGCCGAAGTCTCGATGGGCGAAAGTGACTGATGATTGTTAGCTGACCCCGACTCGTAACAAATATCAAAAACAACTAACCTTCAAAACAAGGCGATCATCCAGCGTCTTCAAGAAAACGGATTTGGTCTTGCCTCCCTTCGAATCCCACTTCAGGCATCGTGAAAGAGACTCGACAATACGTTCTGCAACACCACACTTCCTCCTGAGTGCATCAAACTGCTCTGCATAGAAGATCTTGCAGGTCATGGTGGCAGACCCTTCTCGGAACTGGTATTTGAGATGGGTTCCTGTGACGCGAAGGAGACTCTTTTCCATGTCCGTTTCAGATACCATCCAGTCGGTACCATCCGAAGGAAGTGACTTGGGCTCGGCATCCCTTCCGCCCTCAACTTCGCGCTGCATAACCTCTTGTGCTTCTCGTCGAATGTTCGCCAGCTTGCCCTTGTAGTCGTCGCTGTTGAGAGCGAGTGCAATTACCGAGCTTGGTTCATCCTCTCGTACGATGATGTCTGAATCAACAAAGATATGGTCGCTGGGATTGACCGGATATTCGAGCTGGTGCCAGCCACTTGCGCCTCGTTCAGCCCAGAAGTTGGTGAGATACTTCATCAAGCTGGTCTTTTGATGCTTGGGCAACTCCAGGGGAATATCGCTTGCATCAACAGAATCAGCAATCTCCTTGATGTCGTGCAAGTACTCGTCTGGCACCGAGTGTTCGAGATCAGTGGTGCGTTCTTCGTCATCTGAGAATGTCTGGCTGGTATTTGCAATGGTGTGGTCATCATTCTCTTCCCTTTCTTCCTTCTCCGTTGCGTCTTCTCTTTCTCCATGGCCTGCCTTGTCTGCGCGCTCTTGACATTGCTCTTCATCTCCCACTTGCTGGCTTGGGTTTCCGTGCTGTTGTTCCTCTATGCTCGCAGGTGGCTCGGCAGGAGTCAATGGTTCAATGACCGATTCTGGCTTATGATGAGAGTGCGACTTTCGTGAAGCAATGCTGCCAGCACGTTTGCTGGCTTCGCGTTCAGCAATACTCTCCGATGGGGGACTTGGTTCGTCAAAAGCGTCGTTCACATCGTCGTATACCTCAACAATGGCTTTTGTAGTTGTTCTCGGAAGCATAGCTCGAGGTTGGCGCATGCTCGCAGCACGCTTCTTGCGGTCTCGGATACGCTCTTTCTCGAATTCTCGACTGAGTTGCTCAAAATGTCTCGCCAGTGTTGAAACCTTCGATTCTCTCTTCTTATGCACGAATCGCGGAATTCCTGAAGCGGTTGCTTTGCCTCTATCTTTCAAATTTCTCAACCCTAAGCGATCCGAGAGCTTCTTATCCACTCTGATCGACCCTTCGGTTGTTGACTCGGACCCCATGCTCTCAGGAGGATTCGTCTTTGTTTCTTTAATGCCAAGACCCTTTCCAATTCCTGACTGTGTCCTAGACAGTGTACGAACGGGATGGGAGGTTGCTCTAACCATCGGAGGCGAGACCGCTTGCCCAGACTTACGAGAAGGCCCACGCTCATTTGTGGGAGTAGGGATCGCAGATGGCCCTGTTTGATAGGCCTGCTCTCGCCTCATCTGGTCAACCTTATCTGACAGCGATGGAGCCGGCGATGGGAGCGCTTCAAGAGGTGATGGGAGTGGCTCAGTGGGCTCGGTAGACTCAACACCAGACACAGCGGGCTCAGTTGGCTCATTGGGTTCAGTGGTCTCAGTAGGTTCAAGGGGGGCCAAATCGAAAGCCCCACCTGATGCCTTTGGTGTTTGTTCGGGGTCGGCAATGGGAGTCTCTTGATCGTCTTGATCTTGTTGGACTTCTTGGGCTTCTAATGCCTCGCCACCTTGAGAAAGCTCAGGAGGAGGATGGGATGGTGTTGAAGGGGTGCGCGCTAGATCTAATGGCTCGACTCTTTCAATGGCCCCTTCTGCAGGGATTTCAACTTTACCATCTTCATCAGGAACGTCCTTATCATCGACAGGCTTTGATGAAGCGACACTAGCCTCCATACTGGTGTTGTCGGTGTAGTCCGTTGGTTGGGTGCTCTTCCCTTCTTCTTCCGTGAAAGTTTGAGACGGCCGCTCTTCGCTATCGACAGTTGACGGAGTGCCTTCATTCGAAACTAGCGACTCCTTTGACTCATTGTCTGTAAACATCTTTTTCAACTGCATGATGGTTAACTGGCGCATATCTTTGTCGCTGAGGAAATCAGCTTCAAATTTGGTAAATGCTTGATCCCATTCCCCAGCTTTCTCGAGCATCTCCCGGACAATACTGTTGAAAGGAACCACTTCGTAATACTTCGAGTTGACGTAAATATCTTGCAATCTCTTGACGATGATTGGGAGATCCTCTTTTGCTTTAGCAGTCAAACGATCGACTTCGGATTTGCACAGGTCTGCCTTATCAGGCAAGACACTGTCAATTCTGATGCACATTAGTCTCGATCTGACCGAAGCCATGAATTTGGCCCATCTCTCTTCCATTCTGACAAAGATCTCATTCTTGAGTTTCAAATCATTGGTTACTTTCCAAGTGATTCTTGCTCGTGGCACAACGATTTCCAACAGATCGATGGGATCCCAGTGAATGCGAATTCTTGCGTCTTGAAGGCTGAAATAGCGAACGTGGTCCCGGTGGTGGTCATGGGGACATTCATGCATGCCTTTCATCTTCAGTCCTCGCCCCCAAAAGAGGAGTTCCAAATATTTGCCAAATGAGTATTTGTAGGTAGCTTCCGACATAGCTCTCTCTTCGGTATCCTTCTTGCAAATCTTGCAGTAAGTCCACATTGCAATGCCATCATAGTCTGCCAGAGCAGAATTGTTTGGCATATTCTCGACAAAGACAGTGATTCGAAACTGGTCATGCACATAGGTCCTATGATGTTCAAGCATCCTGCGTTCGCAGCCGTTGGAAGTGCAGACTTGGTTCATGGTGTATGCCAGGTCTTCAATGTATTGACCCAACGTGCAATCAGGATCCATACCAGTGTCAATATGCTGCTCATCGTAAAAGTTTATGGCAACTAAAGAGGGCTCAGTACACGGGATCTTCGTCTCTGTACAGACAACGGAATAGAGGACGACAATGTTTTGATGAGAATATGGATCGAAGAGATCGAGGTTGCCCTGGATATACGTTTCCCACTGACGAGTTTGGGTTTGATAATTGTATAAGGCCTTGTCGTACTCAGCATCGTGAACAGCTCTAAGAATCTCCATGATCTGTCGTGGCGCCTTTTGGCCAATCGCTTCGACCATTTCGGGCTTGATGAGTTGGAATTTTTGAGGATCCGATTTCTCTGAGTCAGTTTCTTCGTAATAATCGTGGTTGCGCAATCTGCGCAAGTAGAGCAATCTTCTCTCCTGCTCACGCGTCTTCATTAGAAGGTAGGGTTGTGTGAACTTAACATAGGGCGAAGCAGAGAGAATCTTGGTTTCGTACTTGGCCACCATATCACTGTAGTAAGTTGGCATGGGGACATCGTCTGGAACTTGGCTGATTTCATCCTCAGCAACAGGATCGGACTGCTCTTGAAGAGACGTTAGACGTGTGCGTTCTTGGGTCAGCTGGCCTGACTGGTTCAAGGAGCCTGTGTCGTCAGTTTCGGTAATACTAGCGCTGTCCACAGTTGTTTGAGAGGGCGGTTCACTTTCTCCTGGCGGGTGATTAACCACAACAGCTGGGCCGTCTCTCGAGTTGTCAACGCTATTGACACTCATAGATCTCGCACTATCGCCCTGGAGTTGCATAGAGTTTGTCATGGAGTCGCCACCTTCCGGAAGTTCGATGGACTCGTCCCTCAAAAGGCTCGATTCAAGCTTCAGATTGTAGACAACATAAACCATGAACTCCATAATGTGCTTCACCTTCGAGAGCACTGTGCTGTTGGCACCCCTCAGCGCAATCGTGCAGCCAAGCTCAGGAGTACAACCGGACAAGAAGATATATGACTTTTTACGACCTGGGTAGTCGTTGTTCACAAACGTCCTAACCTCGAAGCTAGCACATCGTCCAATCTGGACGGGCAACGCCAACATGTCAAGAGACGATATAATATCTGTTTCAGCACATCGTGCAACTGCTTCGATGACCGTGTGCTTAACATTATAGGCCACTGAAATGTTTGTATCAGAAAGATACTGCAACGCCACGCCGGAGATGCTCTTTTCAGCAAGAAGCACTTGTGGGCGGAGATTCGTGATTCTTTGGACAACAACTCGTAGAAATTCTTTTTCTTGCTCGATGACAGGTTGCAAGCTCATAAAGTGCTGTTGATGCCGTTGGTACTCAATGGGAAATGTGACAAGCATTACTCGTGGATTGGTAATCCTGCGAGGCATACTCTTGAGGGCCAGGTTTTTGGTGAAAACTACACCCGAGATGTAGGCTGTATCACCAGGCTTGCCTCCTGGGATTCTCTTCAGCTTGACATAATGTCGGATATCCATGTCTTCTCCCTTCGCGACGTCCGGGTCAACGTCATCCGTTGCTCGCAACAGGATGGGAACAAGAGCCTTTTGCCACGCCGGGGGATTTGAAATCTCTGCATCGTCTAGTAGTTGGTGTAGTAACTTATCAACGTGTCTCAAACTGGATGAGTTGAGCTCGACTTTAGGGGCCTTCTTGTGTTGCAAAGAGTCACTCCTAGTGATCTGGTTTGCACTTTGGTGGGGTGTATCCAATGAGAATAGCAGCTCTGAGGACTGAGAAGGGCCTTTGAACACGGCGGACTTCGGGCGCGGTGATGGCAAGTGATGCATACTGCCACTAACATTGCTAGTGTTCCGTCGCCTTGGTGGCCGACGATATCCGCCAAGACTTCCAGGCAGGTCATCGAGACCACCTCTACTCACGAAGCTCATACCGCTGATGCTCTTTTCGCCTGCCCTATGGCGATATTTTCTGTTAGCATTTACGTATGGCGTAAGTTCTGACTTGTCATCGCCAAGGCTCCCGGGCTGTAAGTCGCCTGTCATTGTGGTAAATAGGCTCATTTGTTCATCTTCACTTGACTCATCGGACATGTAGTCGGCCAGCTCCGGATCGATGATATTATCGTCGTGGAAGGCAGGAAACTTTGGCTTCTTAGCGCTCTCATCATCAATGCCGCGCCTGAAAGGAGCTCTCTCTTCCGGTGCAGGCTTGAAACGGTTCAAGAAGCCAGCATGTTTGGAGTGATGTCGTTTATGGCCTGCAGAAGAATGTGGCCTCGCACTTAGTGATTTGAGAGACCGCGAAGAGCCTGGCCTGCTCAATTGTGGCGCATCGATTTCCAGAATGGCTGCAGTACGAGATTCTCCAAGGCGGCGAGTTGCAGGTATAGCCATCATTGGTGTCGTCACAGGTCTTGACACAGGTCTCGAGTCTTCTGATCCTTCAGAGGCAACCCCAGATTCGTTATCTCTTGGCTTAAACTGGCTCGCGTTGCTGGGACTTTTCGCATGATTTGCGCCGAAGAATCTTGGCATGAACGATTGTTCATCTCCAGAGTCCTCTGAACCACTTCCATCGAAACGTCTAGTGATGACTTCGAGACATCGCTTACAAACGCGTAGCGAACCTTGCACACCGAACTTCTCGCCTGAGATCACAGTGGTGCATTTTGAATCGAAGATGCAGCCGCAGGTTCTGCAATGATGTTTTCTTCTGAATGCGCTGAATGGCGTCTGACAGAGGAAACACTCCTTGACAGTATCATCTTTCATCCAGAATTCCTTACTCAAAACCTGCTTTCGCATCCGAGTGAGCTGTGCATTCACCTGTTCAGAGGCTTCTTCACTACTCGTGACAGTGCCGGGTATTCTGAAATCGCCCGAAGCCATCTTTTGTGGTTTCGGATTATTAGAGAAGGAATCGTGGCAAACAGAATCATGAGCAGATGTGCTGACGTGGCTAGGCTCAGCAGTTCCCCTGTCCAATGAGGAATCTCTCGAGTTTTGACCTCCAGGGGATCTCGACCGGCTGATTCGATCGATAACGGCAGGCTTCCTTCTTACGCTGTCAGGTGACAGTAAAGATGAGGTCACTGAAGTGCTGCGAAGACTTCGAGTCTGTAGTGAGGGCGTACGATGGTGTGCACTCCTGGGACTTGTCGGACTTTTGATACTTTCGTCGATACTTTCGGTGTCCTCACGTTTAGACCTGGGCGGAAGCTTACCATCTTTCATGTCATACAGACTGGCCGATGATTCAGCCGTCGATAGATGCGCTTGCAAATCGGCTCGGCTGCTGATACTCTTTCTGCTCGATCCGACGCCGCCACTGTCCTCAGTGCGGATGGTGGTATGACTAGGATCTCTGTGTACCGTAACAGGAGCGATCGTAGGGTCAGCGGCGATAGAGCTGGGGGCCTTTTTGGAGAAGCTTTGACGGTTCGTAGGGTTGGACTTCTGGTTAGACATCAGGCTGATACTCGATGGCTTGGATGACTGAGCTTGCGGTCGAGGTTCGATAGTGCCGCCACTTTGACTTGTAGATGCCCCTTCATTAGGCAGAACCTGAGATGAGGATGTGGACAATGAGGCGCCGGTGTCGACTCGACTAAGCGAGCCGATAGAGGCCTTCGAGCCATGGTTGGCAACAATCGAGGTTCTTTTGGAAGAAGGTTCTGACCTTTCTCCCGCTGTTTGTTCCTGGGGTGATTTAGAGGAGCCACCACCACCTACAGCCTCCCTCAAGCGACTATAGAGTCCACTGAAGCCTTGTTGGACTAGATCGCCTGCTATTCCTTTATTTTCCGAGGTTGGTGCTGCTACTGGGGGCGGTGCGAAGTCGTTAAAGGTGGTTAGGGAGTCACACTGGCTAGCGGATGTGTGTATCTTGTCAAGTGCATGGGCAAGCTGCCCTGTAGAAATCGAGTTGATAGAATCGCGGCGGTTTCGGATGGGAGAGCTTGTAGATGCTACGGACCCGGATCTGGGCCGCGACATTTTGAGAGTGTGGTTATTCTGAAAATGGGCTGGCGGATCCAGCGTATAAAAACTCGACCGGAACTTGGAGAATGGAGCTGAAGGTCGGTATGCGGACGTACAGCGGTCGTCAACAGAAAGGCCTTAGAAATCCAAGACTCAATGCATGTGACGTTTGTCCGCTTCGAGTCGAGTTGCTCATGCAAACGCAGCAGCCACAGTTCGAGTACAAGATATCAACAGCATGGTGATCCGACGAACTTTAAAGAATAGGTAAGCACGTCGTGGACGGATGGAGAATGGAAGCGGCGAGCGGTGCGGAGAAGTAGGTCGATCTTCAGGGTTCTGATCGGTGAAGCTGTTGTGGATAGACGAGACTGCCAGAGAGGTCGGGGGTCTTGTTTGGAAAAGACGGAATGGAGCGGGCTAAGGTTAACTCAGACAGACTTTGATAGCGGGTAAGGCAAGAGACAAGAAGCAAAACGACGAAAGGGCATCAGCTAGATGTTGCGGCGCAGAAGGAATATGCTGTCCCGCACAGCTAATCACGGCTGTACGTCGTGAAGATCCAAGGTCGAGAACAACCTTTGGGCATCTGAGATGGGTGTTGAATGCGTGATGGCGTCAGACCCTTGCAAGGCAGCCGAAGCCTGAACTGTTAACGACATGGGGGTCACCGGTACATGTTGGTCTCCGATTCTTTTTACTGTTGTGGAACAGTCACCGTTCGCATGAGTTGATTGTGTCTCAATGACCAATTCAACGCAGTATGCTACTCTCACTTAACTATGTTAACTTCGCTTAAGATATCCTATAATATCACAATACTTTCACCGCCTTCATCCTGAGTATATCCAGTTGAGGTCTGTCTAAAGCACCAACTTAAGCCTCTGACATGCACAATCATACTAAAAATCTCAAGTACCGATGACTTGGCGCTGATCAAGCACGAGCCACCCGCCTACCACACCTTACGAACTGGACCCCGCAGCAACTGCCAACACGGCCCAAAATTACCCGTCGCGTCGCGCTGAATGTCGTTTCGATTCGATAGACCTCGGGCTCTCGAGAAAGCACTTCACTCAAGCGTCATTATAAAAGATCCATTGTTATCTCACACAAAGCTTTCTATCTGCAAGAGAAATACCACCACATAATTGTCACATACGTCGCACGTTTCGAAAACCCGATCCTTGCCGCACACCTCCCTTCGATCTCTTCGCCCCGTCGCACAAATTCTTCATCGAAGCCTCCCATGTAACATCCATACATCGCGACAGGTTGTGGGCAATCTATTGCATCCCAATGTCTCCCAAGCCGTCCCCTGATCGGGACATTACGGAGATTTTCAACCGGCATCGCGTCACCAACATTCCCTCCGACCAGAAAGAATTACTCGAGAGACCAGACTCGTGGGCAGTCGAGCTCGAGAACACACCCCACGGCCTATCGCAACTTCCAGGACACGTTCTTGAGACAGTGAAAGCAACGTATGTTGCTAACAAGGACACAATTCAAGAGCGTACTCCAATCTCGAAAAAGCGCAGTGGGAGTCCTATAACATCAGCAAGCAATAAACGGAGCCGAAATGGCAACGCGAGCACACCTGGATCCGGCCATGCGAAGCCCCCACAATCGTCTCCCGAACGCGCTGTGTCCTGGTCCCGATCGCCAGAGCGCATTCCTTTAAAAGACCCAGATTGTATAACGGTAGCTGTAGCTGTTGACCATAACACCCAGTCATCCATTGTCCACGAAACACCAAAAACGGGCTTCGGACGCCCACAGCGACCAACTTCAAAGCCAATCATTGAGAACCCACCTTCGTCCGAGGAGACTGAAGACGACTTGGAAACACGGATTCCAGATGCTCAACCTCTTCACAATGGCTCCATCAATAGAACGGCAGTGCGCTCTAAGCCGACTGCACCATCTCCGCTATCCACCAAAAGGACCATGGCTACACCGCCATGCGCCCAACCAAGCAACACGGCTCAAACGGTGGTGCCAAACACCGTATTCACAAACAAAGAAAATTTTCGCGGCAATGAGAGTCCGAAGACTCGTCGATATATATTCAAACCAATCGATATGGACGATGTGGGTAGGAAAAGGAGGAAAAGTTATAACGAAAAAGATCGTCTGCCGCCGACCATAATGCCCCCAAAAGTCGACAGTTCAATGCCAGCATCGTCCGATTCCATTATCCCATTCACGGGCAATGTACCTACCACACAAGAGTCCATCAGAGACATCAGAGAGTCAATTGAAGTGAAGGAAGAAGATGAGATGATGGATCACGTAGAGGAAATTGTTCCTTCGACGAACCTCCAAGGATCAACTGTGGATCGCCCGGTTGTCCATGGTACTGACGAGAAGAAGCCAAGTAACGAGAGCAAGCCCACAAAACAACCGACCACATCTTCTCAGATGAGTTCGTCAAAGGCGAATGCATCAACGAATTCTCAACCACAGATAAATGACCAGATGGCGACAGAAAAGCCGCCTGCTCCTGCACCACTCATAGCGCCAGGCGCTCCTCTGGAACCCTACGAAGCATTTGTGCAGCAATACCCAGACTACCCTGGTGACAACGGTGGTGACAAGCTGCCCGGGAACAAGTCCAATTTCATTTATGCATGTGTATACCTCAACTACCTACGTCCAAGAAAGCAGCTTCGAGACTGCCTATATGACGAGTTCATCCGAGCTTACCCGTGCTCTTATGGGGAGTACGTCAAACGCTCGCGTTTGGAACCTATGGTTGCCATTAAGTGGTTCAATCAGCAAAAAGGTCCCTTGATATATAATAAATATCTTGTGAACAGGGGCAATCTGAGTCATATCCTCAGATCGTACCCCGAGGAATTCGCAAAAGCAAACGAGCTGGTATCAAAGAAAAACGGGGATGATGCTGGCGAAGATGACATAATGATCTATACAAGCTCAGAGGACGAGGGAGAGTTTGATGAGGACGACAGCCGGCGCTCGGTTTCCCGATCTTCCCAACATTCTTCGGACAGGAGAAGCGTCGAGTCACCACAGCCAATTGCAACTATCGAGAATGATATGGAAATCGACCTCCCTGAAATTCCGTCCGCGCCTCCTTCAACTTCCAGCAGACGAAGGCCATCATTGGCATCGACGAATGATTTGGAAATAGTCTCGAAACCTACGCCAACAACAAAGCCCACCACTCCTGCACAGCCATATATCAGACGCCGGAATACAGCTTCGGAGAGAAGGCCACTCCAGTCCTCACGAGTTCAAGAGATATTGACTCAGCCTCCTCCACCCACTTCACCCCAAATGCCACAAACCTCAATGCTACCACCGTCCACTATAGGAGGCTCAGCAATCAAGTCGACGGCTCCTCGGCCATCACAGTATTTCAAAAAGATATCTGTGGACAACCTACTAAAGGCAACACCAAAGAAACGCTCGGCCAAGGATCTTGAAAAGCTTCGAGAGCATTTCAGAAGATCGAAAGGGACGGGTGCGCAAGATCGTCGAAGCAGCAGTGGCCGGTTTGAATAGAATCGCGGATCGGGAAAGGCGCCGGGATCGAGATTACGTTAAGTGACATTCTTGTTGACGATCGAAACTTTCGGGGAGGCTAAAGCGTTTGTTTTATATTGCATCTGATACCCAAACTTGTTGTTGAATCTGCAGAAATACCGTTCGCAACATTCTCAAGACTGTGTAATATTATATCATCAAGTATTACAGGCTATGAAAGGTCTAGACTCAATTGCATGAAAGATATTAATTCGGTGGCGGAAAGAACAGTCTATTGTGCGTGGGCAACATGTCTATGGTAAGCTAGGTTAGCTGGTTCGACTGAGAACCTGGCTTGATTAATGAACTGACAGCATGGCGATGATGCAGAAGATGGAGAGGTATTAGAAAAAATAGAGTCCTTGGTGTCCAGTTGCCTTTCCTCGTCAAGATACTCATTCTCCATCATTCCGTGTAACAAGAACAAGATTTATCTTCGCCCCCACTGCCAGTCGTCGTCTCATTTCCACGAAGGGGGGTATCATACAGTCTTTTTCAATTTTTGGTCCCAATCAATTTTGTGTCTTCACTCCGTGGCACGAACTACTCTCGCTGCCCATCCCTTTTCGACGTTGGTCTTTTTCGCCTTTGTTCCTTTTTTTTCTGCTGTTCCCAAATTGATGATGTTTTTGGTTTTGCTGAGAGTAAGGTAAAAAAAAGAAATCCCGGTGTTGTTAAGCCTTGAGGTCGTCATCTGTCATTAGCGGTCATTATGGTTTTGATTTGTTTTCGTGTCCTTTTTTTTTTTTTCCTGGCGAAGAGAGTGCTATTTTCACTCTTCCTCAGCTTCAGCTCGGGCTGCACGGGCAGCGGCTTCGTCTTCCTTCTTCTTCCTTTGGCGGGCTTCTTCCTCCGGAGTCATGGTGCGCAGCTGGAGAGCGTGGATGCCGTTCTCTTGGGCCATCTCGTCGCGGAGAAGGGCGTAGACCATGCGGTGACGGGCAGGTTGCATCTTGGAGTTGAAAGCGTCAGAGGTGATGACCACGCTGTCACGTGTTAGTATGCATCTTGATGTGAAGTTGGGTTGACTGGGGTATGTGCAGAAGAACGGTGTGGGTGAGTGAGGAACGGTGTGAGTGAGTACGGGGTACAAGAGACTGCATTGCATGACAAGAGTGTCACGCGGGATGAGATGAGATGAGATGAGATGAGGCGATATGATATGATTCCAAATTGAGATGAGAAAAAGGAGGTTGCACAGAAATCGGTTGATGGTGACAAAGAGCGCAATTCTTACCGAAAGTGTGTCTCGCTGGAGGTAGTGTGTTCCATGGCCTTGTGGTGAGAGTGAAGATGAGAGTCATTGTAGATCTCGAGAGTCTGGGGGTTGAAGGCGGCGGTGATCTAAGGGAAATAGTCAGCAAGTGATCTCGTCAAATATGCATATTGAGATCCCACCTTGGCTCGAATAAGATCCTCAACAGGAGTGTTGGAGGAGCTCATGGTTGAGAGCTGTCGCTGGACGCTCGAAAAGCCGAGCGCGTATCGTCGAAACATGAGGTATAGCGGTCTGAAATAAAAGAACGTAGCGACGTCCGAATACAGTTTGCGCAATGTCGACTGAATCTAAACAAAGTCGACAAAGGCGATACAGATGCGACTATTTAAAAAACGAATTGAGTTGAGGTTAACTCGGAATTCGCGGGCGATATAAGAGAATAGAATCTTGCTTGTCCGGATCCCAAGTGGAGCGGTAATGGATCGACAGGGCAACACGAAAGGCTCTGGTTGGCTTCTGTTGGTGAGAGGGAGGTGAAGTAGGTTTTTTAATGAGGTTCCCGAGTTATCGGTTTGTCCGCCTCTTTGAGCTTTAGGTTATCGGTCTGGCTCTGCTGCCCCCAACAATAAAGCCTGGCACACTGTGACGTGACAACTGAAAGCAGAAACAGGAAGTCAAAAGTGAGAAATAGCAAACAAGAAACTTTGAGTAGAGCAGACGGAAAGTGAAAGGTGGAAATACAAATTGGAAGAGGCGGGCAGGACAACTGATATACGTTTCGAGATATGGGATCTAAGAAGCTTGGACTAGGCACGTACAGTACATTCTACGGATTAGTACCCAAGGTAGGTATCTAAAAGTGGCGGAACACGTTAACTCTTCGTGAAAAACAAAAATGCATACGGTGATTGTGATTTGTGAAATTGACAGCTCAGGGAGCCGTTATTCCGTTTCGGTGTGAAGTCGGTGTAGAAAACAACAAGCAAAAAAAGGAACAAAACGACCACAAGCAGAGCAGAAGCAAAGACAAAAGCCACCAGGCCACAGAGAGGGAGGGGGGATGGATGTACTGTACTGTAAGGTACTGTAACAGGCCCTTCTAAACATGTTCGTTATTCCTTCTACTGTAAAAAGCGCGGGGATCTGGTACTGTACATTTACCGTCTTTCATGAGCCAAAGTGGCGGACAAGTTTTTCGATCCATCACATCGCATCACATCCCTACAGTGCCACACCCCTGAAAGCCTCTTTTTAGCAAATGATCAGCCGCCAATCTGCGTGTCCGTCCAGACGGTTGGGTCGGGCGTCGGCTGGCCCTGACCGCCTGGCTTCTAGAGCGGTGAAGCCAGGAACAAGGGTTACGAACCATGAACCCCTGTTCTCTTTTCTCTCTCTCTCTCTGTGTCTCTTTTCTCTCGTTTCTCTGCCAGTCTGTCTGATCATTGCAAATAATAGAATGCCACGACAAGCAAGAGAGCTTAGTTTCGACTCATCATAGACTACCTAGTAGACTAGCAGCGTTACTATACATCCAATGACATATACCCCCCCGGCTGCAGACTTGACAGCATACACTGTGGATCTTGTCACTGGAGCTGTTGGAGCTTTGCTGTAGGTACGGGCCCAAACAGGCGGGATCTGGTGCGATGCGATAGCGGTCTCGTGGATTGGCTCCATATTCAAAGTTAGGTAGCGTTAAGTTAAGGTCCGGGGTTTGTTTAAAAAAAAAATGTCAAATATCCAATCCACTCATTCACGTATTCGTCTTTGACCTGTGAGTTGTTGATGAGGCCAGCGTTCAACCATAACAGCCCAGCACAACAAACCAGTATCTTCCCTGTCTCCCACTCGACTCAGGACAGAAAGAAGGATCATGTACTGTACTGTATGTACTTTCATCTCAACTGTTGAGCCTGTACGGATACGTACATGTACAACGCTTGTGTTGCATTGCAGTCGAACGGTTCCTTAAGCCTCCCAGCTAAAACCACACGCGGACGCATCTCTAGCTGCCGATACTCAACCGTAAACAAAAGAGGCGCTGCTTATTGGCTTCACTTTTGAATCCTCTTCACTCTCTCCCTCAAAAATGTGCACCTTTACGTCTGTTAGCTCCTCAAAACTGTTCGGCGCGGCTTCTAAAAGGTACGTACCTCCGGGGAAGACGGCCGTCCGTCCGGGACCGTGGGCCGAAAACTTGACCCCATTTACGTCAAAGAGTCAACCCACTTTACCTTGGGACGTTGGAGCTTTTGCTTCACAACACACGCAACTCCATTTCTAAATTCAGCTGTCGCTTTCAATTAACTCATGCTCATGCTTCAACGGGATCGTCAATCCCTAAATCCTATCCCCTCCTTCTTCCCCTCCCAAGTGCATGCCTCGGCAAATGCGCCGTTGAACCACACCTCAACGTAGCATTCAAGTCTGCAAAGCGACACTCCGGATTGGCCTCTTTAATTTTTGAATCCTTGTCGCCAAACCCCGGCGCTTCGGGGCCTTGAATTTGTTCGTCATGTCGTTCCTCCGACATCTCGTCACCTCCGCCGTCCGGCGCCCGTCTACCACTACCTCCGCTTCCTTCATTACCCTCCGTCCCGCTGCTAGAAGGCTCTCAACCTTACCACGCTTAGCGCTCTTCGAAGCTGTTGCACAACATGATCCAGAATCGAAAGCTGTTATCCACTCACTTTCCGGTCGAACATTCAAGTATGGAGAGCTTCTAGGTGATGTTAGTCGAGCACGGGACAGGCTGGCTGAGGCTGCTGGTCATGAGGACCTCAATGGCGAGCGCATTGCGTTCCTGGTTGAGAATAGCTATGACTACGTAGGTGAGCTCATGACGTGACCTCATGATATTACATTGCGACAGCAATTGACATGTCCTTGTATAGTGATACTCTTGGCCGCAATGGCTGCGCGATCTATTGCTGTGCCTCTATCACCCGCATTCCCTGCTCCAGAACTACAATACATTCTCAACCAGAGTGAAGCTTCGTTGCTAGTCTCCTCGTCAAAGTTCGCATCCAAAGCTAAGGAAGTTCTTGCGACTGAACTTACAACCCAGCCGGCGCATGTAGCACTTCAGAAGCATCAAGGTGGGGGTAGTCATGATAAGGTCGAACTGAGCAATATCGATGCTGGTGAAGCTGGTATGATGCTGTATACTTCAGGTACTACCAACAAACCCGTAAGTTTGCTCAGAATGCTTCAATCGCTCTGTGTGCTAAAGACTCGGCTTAGAAAGGAGTACTGCTCCCCCAATCCGTCTTGACAGCGCAATCTCGTTCCCTCGTTGAAGCCTGGAATTACTCACCCTCCGACCATCTTCTCCACGTCCTCCCGCTTCATCACATCCACGGGACTGTAAATGCCATCCTTACACCGCTCCTCGCCGGCTCAACAATCGAGTTCATGCTCCCATTTAACGCTGATGCTGTCTGGAAGCGCTTCTCAGCACCCTTCCTCGCCAATGACTCTTCTACCCCTAAAGAGAAAATCACATTCTTCACAGTTGTGCCCACGGTATACAGCAGACTTCTCACCTCGTATAAGAGTCTACCCCCAGAGACTCAAGAAGCCGCCCGCAAAGCCATCTCACCAGAGAACATGCGCCTCTCCATCTCTGGTTCCGCCGCACTCCCAACGCCCATCAAGACCGCCTGGAAAGATCTCAGCCATGGCAATGTCCTCCTCGAGCGTTATGGTATGACCGAGGTCGGTATGGCGCTGAGCTGCGGTCTTGACTTTTCAGATCGTGTAGATGCCAGTGTCGGCTGGCCGCTACCGTCCGTTGAAGCTCGCCTCGTTGATGTCGACAATGGTGAAATTATCAAGGAGGGGGACGAAATCGATGCTCAAGGCCGTGAGCGCTCTGGTGAGATCCAGCTAAGAGGCCCTACCATCTTTCGCGAGTACTGGCGCAATCCAACCGCAACAGCAAGCGAATTCGTCGAAGATTCAGACGGAAAAGGAAAATGGTTCAAGACAGGCGACGTAGCTGTCCGCCGTCCAGTCCCCTCCGCCACCGCTTCCCAGTCATGGACACATGGCCCCCTTTACTTCATCCAAGGACGCAAGTCCGCCGATATCATCAAGACAGGAGGCGAAAAGGTAAGCGCTCTAGAAGTCGAGCGAGAGCTATTGTCTCTCCCCGAGGTCGCCGAAGCAGCTGTCGTGGCTGTGCCTAGTGGGCAATGGGGCCACAAGGTCGGTGCTGTACTGGTTCTAGATAACGATGTCGTCAAGAAGTGGTCAGCGCTCGATATGCGCAGGGCCCTCAAGGGACGTTTGGCAAGTTACAAGATTCCCCAGGTTATGCGACTTGTTGATCAAATACCCCGAAATGCTATGGGCAAGATCAACAAGAAGCAGTTGGTCAAGAGCATCTTCCCCGAAGATATCAGCGGGGATGAGAGTTAAAAGTAATGGGCTTCCAACCGTTCAAAATTTCAAAAAGTGTAAGATCTGAAACTTTATAATCACTGTAGTAGCCACATTTCACCAAATAGATGCGAGCATTGTTTCAGCAAGTTTGGTAGCAATTGAGTATAGCTAGCAAGTATTCATGTGAAGCAACTGATTAAAGTTGTTCGAAAGTACAAAATCTATTTTCCTTTCCCCTCCTTGGGTGGCCCTTTTCATACTTCGTGGATGCCACTTGGGAAACAGTCCTTCCAAGCAACGCCAATAGAACATTGAGCCAAATGAAATCAAGGACGACTCGTGGCCAGGCTGACTGAGCAGTTCACCCCTCCGGGCTCAAGCCAGTCGCCGCTCCATCCTTGCTGTGCCGCTTCTGCTTCAACAACTCGTCGACCTCTCGTGAATCGCCAGATGAACGGCGTCAGGGTCAGAAACGTGAAATGGTCATTATCGGATATCGTGCTAAATCAACGTCGTGCCTCTGCGTAAATCCTCACACGTTTAAACGACGTGCTTAGCCTTGGCTCGTGTACTGCCTGAGTGAGCACTGTCGGTGTGTCCAGAGAACTCAACCTGCTCTGAGGCAGGTAGCTCAAGAACCTCCTTGAACCGGCGGCCGATAGACAGGAGAATCTCCTTACCCTTCTCACCGCTGCGGCCCTTGCCGCCAGCAACGTCACCCTCACCTCGGCCGGGGATGCTCTTTCCGATGGTACGAGTCCAGACACCAATTCGGAAGAAGGCCTTTCGAACGTTGACGACAACGCCCATGACCTCACCATCGTCCTCGTCCTCGAGGGTCTCACCGATAGCGGCCATCATGACCTGGAGCCAGAGACGGTCGACATCGATGTTTCGCTTATCCTTGTACTGGTAGGACCACTTTCCGCCGTGCTTGTTCTGGGGGTCCTCCCACTCGGGGCGGACGCCAGCCTTGAAGAGGTGGTAATCGGACTTGAGGGAAAGCTCGGAAACGGGTGCGACATTATTCTAAAAAATTAGCACGCGGAAGATTTGAGATCGGGTTTGTGACTCACGTAAACGCCCCAAAATTCCTCAACGGAGTCGAAGGTGATAACTTCCTTTAGGAGATCGTTCCAGTTGTCGCCCTATCATAAATATTAGTGTCCGAGTTCGGCGGTAAAGGTATGTCATTTCGCACCTTGCCACTCGGGGGCTTTGTGAACCAGAGAGTCCACTTGTTCTGAAGCGGGTGCTTCACGTTGAAGTTGTCCTTGTCGTGGAAAACGGTGACAGGTTTGTCGTCGTCCTTGACATCGGACGAATCCTCCTTGCCGGCAGGGTCGACGGGAATGGTGGTGAGGTCGACCTGCTCGTCCATCTTTGGGGTGTCAGCTACAGCGGCGGCCATTTTGTTGGTTTGCTGTTTGTAGGATCGTGGTGGAAGATGAAGGGTTTCGCGGATGAAAGATCGCGGGGCAGAGACGATTGATTAGAGGCAAAAGAAGTGGAAGCAACAGATGCGGAAGTGGGGCGAGAAGCAATGAAAATGAAAGTTCAAATTTCAAAGCAATTCCTTCCTCTCGTGGAGAATTTGTCTGCAACTTTGCACCAGGCAAGAGTCGCGAATAACGGTAGAGAGAGCTGAAGTAATAGTCGAATTTGACGTTGTCGGAGAGTGCGAGGTGCGCCTGTTGAAGTTTAGTTTGTGTCGCGAGGCGCAAGCAAAAATTCTTGGGTGCTGACCTAAAACTGCGGAAGGCTTAACTTTGGCAAGCGCACTGGGTGGCGGTGCCTTATGGTGCCTGGCTTCTGCCTGAACATTTAGGCCGCACCTAAAGCTTTGCCTCTGGCTTGCTTGATTCTCTAACGTTTCACAAGTCAAACGAATCTCACATTTCCTATTCAACTCCTTAATAGCCAGGTATTCGCATTAATTTGCAAGGGACAATGACAGGGCTATAATGAAGCTGCAGGTATCAATGAACCTTCTCTTGTTTCAACATGGGCCTCACGTGCCAAGCAAGATCCCTCTTTGTCCCAACTTTGTGTCTATATCCGATCCAGGTTCCTGGGGCTAATGATTTACTTCCAAGTTCATAGTAAGTTTATCAACTATTTGAAGGCTAACACTGGGATATCTTTATGCCAAGGTCAAGAGGAGGAACCGAAATCGCAGAGGGTATTTCTCAGGAGAAAATACCCTCTCTTGGTTAGTGTTTCAACAATACCTGCAATGGCATTCAAACAACATATCCACAAATCGAGCTGGTATGAACCTGACTGTCAACTAGCGTCTATCGGGCCTCGAGAGTTTAATGCAACTCGACTGCATATGACGCAGTGTTTTCAGTCACGCGCATATACAATGCGGAAAATGGTACGCAAATTTGCTCTTCAAAATGAGCCCATATGGGCTTTTAAAGGCTCACAAATACCATGCTGATATGCCAATTGGCTTGTCCAACGTTGCAATGCGCTGTCATACTTGGTATGATCTGCTGGCATGGATGAATTCGGGTTATCGCTTCAACTTCATGACCCCCATTCATGCCTCCACCTCAAGAGGAGGTTCAAACCAAACCTCTTTACGTTTTTGAGTCGTTCGCCCCTCGCACCATTTCTCATGTAGGCTGGGATCTAGGCATTTCTCTAACCCCGGTCAAGTGTGCCAACAACCACATTCAAATAGATACATGGGGCTAAAACATCAAGGACAAAGGAACAGCACAGTCAGATATAAACGGCAAAGGCGGTTTCACACAATTGTATTCATCCAGTCAGAAGCTCTACTCTGACCAACCTGTGCCAACTTTAACATTGCTGCGTCACTTCTCCCTTGAAGCGAGGCGTTCGAGGCGCCAACGATATTCCAGAGCTACAATTAAGCCTCAATAGTCACCCACCTTGAACCACGTTCACCATTCACAGTCGATCTTGGTCTGATGGAGCGGGATTTCCCTTTGACGTTTCCCAACTTCATTGGCTTTATGAATATTCCTTGTCCCACAAAGGGACTGACAACTGGTGTGCACCCGCTTCATTACGTACTCTACACCATGATCTTGTCCCAAATGATCGCCAAAGACACGCTAGGTGGTCCTGCAGGAGCGCAGGTACTGGCTATGCCCCTCTGGAATGTGAACGCGCCTCACAACCTCGATTTCATCCCACCATCACGACCCCACGGGTCCCTTGGTGTCTCTGTGAGCCCCTCATGCTCATGAGCCATCATCCGAGACCTGTGCGATCAACCGTGGGCTGACCAGGGTTGGTATGCCGGGCCTTTTCGTTCATGCTCAACCTGATATCCATATATAGATGCACCAACATATAATAAGTCCGTCTTTCCCATCAAGGACAAAGGACCTCCCCTCACCAACACACCCTCTCAGACCAACTCTTTGTGCCTCTTCTTTTACTGTGTCCAACCCTCATTTCACTCAATCTACTACCAACTTAAATTATCATCATGGAGCCAGAGACAGTAGCCACCTCCTTTGAGAAAGATGCTTGCAAGACAAAGGACAATGCCCCCAAGGGCAAGACTCGAAGTAGCTCTCTTCTAACAATCAGCTCGGGCTTCACCTTTCTTGCTGCCCTTCCTGGAGGATCAAGCTCTTCGTCGTCTTTCAGATCATCATCATTTCGATAAATACCTAACAACAACTCTTGTTTCTTCGATCTGTCCTTCGTTTGCACACTCTTTTGTTTAATTGTTTATCAACGCTTACCATCTGCTGGATCAGCTTTTTCTTTCAACACTCCTTCTCAACGTTTGACTTAGCACGTTTTCTGTTCTGTGCTGTACTACATACAAAATGCGGGAGCTCCGGTCATATAGTCCCACACGCCGCAGTCTTAACTTTGCTCTATTTTGTTCAGACTTGGAATTATCAAGCGAGTTTTACGATCATCACTTCAAACGTCTTGGTGCTGAGATCTGTACCATCGTGTTATCAGCATTTTCCCCCAAAGAGGAACAACAGGCTCCTCGGACGTCTCCGTGGCTAAGAGACTATCCGAAAGAATTCATCAGACATGTTGAGCTTGTAGCTCATATGGACGCACGAGCAGGAAAATGGGAGAGACTTCTTTGTGATAAGGGAGAGAGGACGAACCTCCTTCAGGCTATCATTTTCAAGGTCCTCGATAATCGAGTCTTTTCTCGGCTGCTATTTGGAGCCAGTTCCAAGCATGATGAGACATTGCATAATTCCGACGTTGCACTCATCAATGCAGAAGGTATGTAATGCAACGCAATATAGGAGCAGCACCACTAACGTTCTTGGAGGTTTCCAACGCAGCGAGCTCCGAGCTCATACCACCAGAGCTTGGCTTGAAATGCGCAGAGGGGAGCCCGACTTTTTTTGGGGAGAGGTCGACAAGCTAAGCACCGAGGTTTACCTTCTGTTGCTCCATGTCTACGAGTTCACGGCCAGTTTTGACGGTTATGAACCCATTTCGAGAACAGAGTTGTATCAGCTACTGCATGATGTGATTTCATACGCAGGTTGGCTCAGTGTAGGCCTTCGCATGTCATCGGCCATCGTCTCGATTAACTGGCTCATACCTGGTGAGCTGCACGCGGTGAACCAAGTGAGTACCTGTCAGACGGCGTACAAAGCTTCAAAGGAGGCAGCTCAGCAGCATGAAAGGCGGTTACAAGAGAAGAGGCCTGAAAGAGAGCAAATGGGCTCCATGGCCAGGGTCAAGATATCAGTCATTCCAGAGATCATTCGATACCAGCCATATGCAAAGGAAGCTAGTGCCAAGGGCATCGCCTCTTACAGAATCATGGAACCTCACGCGGTGCATTATCAGGGACTGCAACAAGAGTATGATGAGAACAGGGCATTCATCAGCCTGCCGGACTACATCAAGAAGCTGCGGGATAGAAACTGCGCACCACGCAACGCTGCCCTGGTCATAATGGCCACTTTATTGATCTGTTTGTGGGTTCTTTATACTACCTCGGGCCAACAAACCTGGCAGAGAACCAAGGGATGGGTGATTCCGGAGCCTGAACCTGAACCTGAGCCTGAGAAATCGTGGTGGAGATTTGGATGGTAATGTACCTATCTGGTATTTGTGGTGCTGATTAGGTGGGGGTCGCCATGTTTATTTTTGTAATTGGATTTTGGAGTTTATAAAGGTTACATCGGAACATCATAATGCGAGGCTATTTGATTTTGTATTTACAAAATTCTTCAGAATAGTACACTTCGTCATACAACGATAAATCAAACTGCAACGTTTCAAAGACATGGCAATGTCAAATTATATTGCTCGGCTTCAGGGTAGGTTGCCATAGAAAGCGTGCCAGAAACACCTCATAGGATCTTCTTCTACTTCGGTAAAACAACAGCGGATCACATCCGCAATGGCTGATTGGCTTCCGTAGCTCAGTTGGTTAGAGCGTCGTACTAATACTTCAATCCGAGTATCCGGTAATGCGAAGGTCTCAGGTTCAAGCCCTGGCGGGAGCATTGTCTCTCAGCGCCCATCAGCTTCTTTTTGAATTTTTGCCGATTTTTCTCGATTATTGAGATCAATATTTGATCGGATATGTTAACAGTCTTGGTGTTGAGTGGGATTTGGTGTGGTGCTACGGAAATCGCAGTGAGGGCAGGAGCGAACTGCCGGGTGGATCTGATCTTGATGATCAGATAAGATTAGTAGAATCAGCATCAAATCATTACACCATTCAGATGCAATCCCTTGTCTGTGACCCCCAAATTTGTGATGAACCCCTCACTGTTGGTGATAGAGTCTGCATTGGTTCTCTCATCCCATCTGGTTCGAACTAGATCTGCGGAGTTATCACCATTGTTAGAGCAGTCCTAAAGATTAGCATATTCTAGGATATGTTACTCTAAAGATCCTAAAGCTTAGGACTGCCTTACCCTAAGTATGGCCTAAGATGCCGTTGTTCAGGCTTTCTACGTTATGATCTATCGGACTATGAAGTGTGATACAAAGCCCACCTCATACTGCAAGTTCATGGTCTATGCTGTAGTGATAGCTTCGACGATGTTTATTTTCAAAATGGTACTTCGGAGAATGTGGTCCCTGATCGTCGAGTTGTAATGCATTAATGTTTCGGGCCTCATTCTGCACAATTGTTCCCGAACCCAAGGGATGGGGCGTTACTTGCATCTCTGACTCGTGTCGAATTGGCACCCGGTTGAAGCATGCAGCCGATCAAGGATCTCTTCTAACAGATCCAATTCTAATAATAGACCGCAATTGACTTCTTCATCTCAAATACATGAAGATTCTCAACTAAGCTTTCTGTAATTTTTCTTTCTGTCATATTGCTCCGCTGAAGGGACTCTGCCCTAGGCCCTGCAAGTTCTTGCTCATGTTTCTGTCATAGATGCTTGCTTGCCTGCTTGACGGCACGAAAGAAAGATGCCAGGAAAGCGGGAATAATCCATTGAGTTTACCAGAGACTTAGTTAATGCCGAGTAAGTAAGGAAGATCTCCATTGCTCTCATCACAACCACTGTCACCAACTAAATATGCCCCTTACTCAATTACGGTTATACTTCAGCTTTGGAAAGGTCCAACATAGTATACCCATTTTCCTAGGCATTGGTGTGGACTCTGTTGCAGCTTAAGCTAAAAACGAGAGCGAGTATCAGAAAGAGCAAAGTTTCCAACCACCAACTGGCCCAGGATGTTAGAGCTCATGATGAAACATGCAAATTAAAAGATCGAAGAATACGAGAAGTCCACGATAGGCCTTGCAGAGACAATAGCGAATCCATCAATCAAGTGCTGGTAACTCGTAACGGGTAACGACATGCAGTAACTGCCGTGAGACTTTGATCGAAGGAGGCTGGGCAACGTGTATCTGTAAGCCCATGGCTTCGTGTACTCTTTTAGTAGCCAATATTAAGTTTACGACATTAATTGCCAAGCAAAACAGATCGGTAACTGTCTGACGATTTTAGATTGGATCAATATCGAAGAGTTGAAGCGCCTCTTCTCAGTTATCATTATGCTTGATTCTGAGAACTTCTCTTTCCATATTCTCACAGTTTAGGTGAAGATGAGACAAAGTTTATTCGGGCCATCCCGCCCTTCCGCGCGCCAACGGCCTGAAGTATTAAGATTCGGGAGCAGCCGTTTTAGATGTATGACTTCATCAACTTCATAATTGATGTCAATTGAAGAAAGGGTGTTTCATTTTGAGCTTATTGATCACCACCACAAAATTGTAACTGTCAATGATATCAATTGCTAAGGAAACCAATTGTTCCGTTCTCACAATCTCAATGGATATCTTGTCCGGGCCCGTCCCGTGTCTCCGATGCCAGCCACCCGCTTTTTTGGGTCTTCGGAAGAGCTCCAAGGGTGAGACACGGTGACACCCCGCCCCCAGCCATCCCCAGCCTCGACTTGACGAGGAAGACAAGATATATCAAGTTTTGGATCCTTGCTAGTAGCTTCAGCTACCCATTTATGGATTTCCTGATGCGACTATGCTCGGCGCAAAGTGTGTTATGGGGAGATATCAACGCCCAAGCTTACCTCATGAAGACCAGCGATTACATTCGAGGCTGGGAAACATGATGAGCATGGGGAAGCTTCCAGGGTTTAGACAGCTCTTTGGATGGATTTGGACAGCTCCAGGGACGTGTAATCCCTGCACCGCCGCGGCATCTTGGGCTCCAAGGTAGAGCAGAACAGGGCAGTTCCCGGGTCTGCTATCGTCCGTATCGACCCAAGAAGCCTTGAATTTTCCTTTCTCTTTCCTCCTCAGCCATCTCAACATTTTCTTTTGGTCCCTGCAGATTGCAAGAAAATTCTGTTTTTGCTTTCTCTCTGCTAAACAATACCAATTCTGCAAAGCATTGTCTAGTCCGGCAGCTCGCATGAGCCCTAGACTAGACGCAGCGCCCCGCTACAACTCCATTTACGCGGCCCTTCCACTGAATTGCTAGCGCTGAACAGCCCAGAAATCAAAGCTTCGCTACGTTCGCTTCAGCCTCTCATCTTTTACCCGCCTCCCGCTCCAACGTAACGCGCGATTCAACGCCTGACATCCATCTTGTCTCTTTTTTTTCGCCTCTAACGCGCTTGTCCAATCACACCGCCCCGAGGATCAACTGTAGCCTCAGATGTCGACGCCATACTGGGGCCAGTTACCTGGGCCCAAGGTCGCCCAGACTGGCCATGCGGGCCATACCCGCCGCAGGTCTGAGTCGGACGACTATGCCTACAATGCTGACCGTAGATCTTCGCTCGACGCTGCCCCAGTTCGCAGATCGAATCGTGGTTCTTTACAAACTCAGGTCACCGAGGCTCCTACTGAATCTACCTTTAGTCCCTATGATTCTCCAACCACTTCTAATTTCGCTCCCCAAGGTCTAGCTCCAAGACCATCTTCTTACGGACGAGACGTACCTGCTGGTGAGGCTTCTAGACCGCGCCAACAGAGCCGACAGCAAGAAGAGTACGACGACGAGCCATTGTCGCCTCCTCCGCCTGCTCCAGAAGTTCCTCGCGGACCTCCTGTGAGCTATCGCCATCCATACGGTAACGGCGGCCTTCCTTATACCTACACCGCCTCAGACACTACCGCACCTCGCGATCCTAACCCACAAGACGGCGATATGGAACACGATCAATACCAAAGGTCCTCCGAGAGGACTGGAGGTCAGAGGCCTGATCAAGGCCAAGAAGATTTCTCAAGGCGAGGCTCAGGCGCCAGCGCATTCGATCCATTGTCCAGGAGACAAACAACAGGCGGGTCCTCAGACCGTCGCAAAGCGTTCGCAAACGACCGATCACCCCTCCAAAGGCTTGAGCTGACGCTCGACAGCATGACCAAGGAGGAAAAACGCGCCCGAGTTGAAGCCGCTGAACGACGCGCCAGAGAACGACAGGCATTGAAAGCTGGAAAGCAGCCCGCAGGCCAGCAAGTGCGGTCTCATGAACGGAAACCCTCTGTCACGTATGGCGAGAGACGCCCATCGGGCAATGCAGCTTTCTTTTCAGGTGCGCAGCCTTCGGCGCAAAGAGACGTGTCCCGAGATGTTTCCCGAGATGTGTCACGAGAATACCCCAGAGATACCCAGAGAGACGCATCTCGCGATGTCCCACAAGACACCTACCGAGATATCCCACAGAATGCGCAAAACGATGCGCCAACAGATGTTTACCAGGAATTGCCCCCGCAAGTTACGGTGAAGAGAGGAGGCTCACATCGTCGCCGCGTGTCAGTGGCGCATCCCCAAGAAGCTGAGAAGTACTACGCTTCAGGCGCAATGATGGAACCAGACGACATGGAGCCTATGCCTCGGCGCATGGATCCTCAATCTGCCATTCCCAGGCATGTTGAGCCATCGTCTGGCATCCCTCAGCGCAACCTGAGCTTCCGTGAGAGAGCAGCTCGAGATAACGTACAGCTTCCTGAGCAGACCATGACGAGGGAACCAGCTCAGCCGGCACCTCAGAGTGGGGGATTCTCCTTGACCAGGAGTGGCAGCAACAAGCTCAAGAAGCCCCCGCCAGAAGACTACCAATATGCTCCTCGCCGTGTAGTATCAGAGAGGCGCCCTGCTCCTATGGCTTCGGCGATGAAACCCCAGCAACAACAGTATGGTGACGATGACTACTACTATGATATTCAAGATGACCTACTTCCTACTCGACAGAATACCCGACAGATTACACAAGAACTTAATGACCGCTTTACCCGCGAGAAAGAATTACCCCCTGACCCCCCACAAACTGCCGATGCACGAAGACCATCAGTCGACTTTGTTCCTGGGCGTCAACAAATACCTATGCCTGGTGATAATCAGGGTATCAGGAGGCGTGTTACTGAACCTGTTCCCCGGGTTCAGTATGCTGATGAAGATGAATTCATTCCTCCTCCTCCTACTCGTGGTAAATCCATTGGCACTAGACTCCTTGGTAGAAAGGAAGCCGATGACGGATCTCATGCTCAGAACCAGGCCGCTGTTCGCAGAAAGGCTGAGAGAGCAGATAGCTTTTCTTCTGCTAGTTCTGACTCTCATCATATCTCGAACATGGTCTTCAAGCGTCCGGAGGACATG